GTCGTCCTATTTTTTTTGTAGCGGTGAAGGGGAAAGAAAGAAATATGGTCAGTAATCCTGTCCTCGTTAAAGGAGGGGAATTGTATTTTGGGGATTTGATTGAAGCCACATATGTCTATGAAAAGAAGACCTGAATACTGATAGATTCGATTGATGAGCTCGAACGAGACATCGACCTGTCCAGAAGTTGGCATGGTCCTGTCCTGAAAGTGGAGTGGTGATCGAGTTGAATAAATAGTTGTTTTGTTGGGCAGGGTGAGCAAATTCCAATCGAATCATGGGGGTCTTCAAAGAGGAACTCAAATTGTTGCTTGAACGATACGAGGGGGAACCGGCGATCCGATCACTCCTCGGACACAAAACGACATCGGACAATACTTGGTACATACATACAAATGGACAAATCAAAACAATCCAGCATATGTATGTATATTGTCTTTTCCGGAAACCTTGGACAACTTTCGTTTCGTTTCGTTTCGTTTATGCATTTACCGGCGAGCCAATCCTGCAAATCCCTGTAGTTCCTGTCACAGCCACTCAGAAAATCATCTGCCATGCATGTGCTAGTGCAGCACGCCACGTCAATACTGAAAATCATCTGCAGCGCATGCGGCAAGCAGATGTCATCTGAATATGGCACACACCTCTGGCCGGCACTCCCAACACATTTCCCATCCGTCCCTCCTCCTCCATTATCCCTCCATTCATCCATCGATTCCTGCCTCCCCCCCCCCCCCCATTTCTCATGAAATGGTCTATCGCTACCACCCCGCCGACTGTCAAGATAGTCTGTGTCCGAATGGAAATGCAAAATTACCCTCGAGATGCCATCTGCGCCGCCCTTGGGAGGACCATATCCCGACAATCTTTTGACCGTTGGATGGAACTCTACCGCCTAACTCAGCGGGTCGTTCGGGATCCCAAGGAATACGAAGAACGAGGTGGTCAGTACAAGCTGACCGGTGAAGATCGAGAATTCATGCTTGAGCTCTTACGAGCCGAGCCCGGGCTGTTCTTGGACGAAATTCGGGAGAGGTTATACGATGACAGCGGCACCTTGATAGGCATCACAAGTGTTCACCGCAACCTAGTCGAAAAAATGTCGATCACTCTGAAGAAAGCGGATACTGTGAACATCAAAAAGTCACTGGTTGCTAAATATGCTTACATCGACAGGCTGGCAGGTGTACCTGCCGAGCAGATAGTATTCACAGGTAAGCAAGCTGCTGGTCATGTCAAACAGTCAAGTTTTCTTATTATTGGTCAATTAACCTTTTTGTGTGGTTTTTATGCCGTTTGCGTCCATCAGACGAGTCTACCTTCTGCTCCAGAGACCTTCTTCGAACGTTTTCCCGATCCAAAAAAGGTACGGGCGCCATCCGACATCAACTGGAGCAGAACCCAAAGCGCTTCACACTCATTCCGGCGATCAGCATGTTTGGCGTCATTGCACTCACGGTAACCAAAGAAAATGTCAAGCGACCTTACTTCACACACTTCCTAAAATATCAGCTGGTGAGTGCAATCATTTGCGCCGCATGTTTACACATTCAAAATGCATCTCTGACGACCCTTTATTTAGCTTCCGCGAATGAATCCTTATCCTGGTCTTAATTCGATCCTCGTCATGGACAATGCTGGCATTCATCGGGGGGCCGATGTTGCCCGTTTATGCCACGACGCGGGTGTCCGATTGATCTACCTTCCTCCGTATTGCCCAGAGCTCAACCCGATTGAGCTCTGCTTCTCACAGGTAAAGATCCAACCC